AGAGAACAAACGAGGAAAAGCAGTTCTTACAGGATGGTGAAGGTGCCGTTGTAGTTGCTGGGCTGCGGCACGGGCACGGTCTGGAGCCTCTCCTCTGGGCTGAGACCAGTGCAGGACAAGCTCTCATTACTGCAGATGCAGAGCTCACAGATGTTCACACTTGTGGGAGCGCTCTGTTTCGGTTGCTCCTTTTCTGAGGTGTATGGTACAGAATGCACCACCGAAGGCTCAGCTGAAGCAGGTGTCTTCAGTGACCCTGGGTGCCGAGTTATGGTATCTCCCTGACCTACAGGTGGAACTGTGACTCGAGTCAGGTCTGGGTGTGCAAGTGCCACCTCAGGAGGAGGAGCTGTAGTCTTCCGGAGGACTGTAGCATGTTGAGCCTCCACAGCAGGTTCTGAAGTCATGGTTAGCTCCAGGTCTACGTGATGAGGTGTGACGCTGGACGGTGTTGTGTGCTGACCTTGACCCTTACTTGAAGTTGGAATGGTCACCTCCTGATGGGGTGGATATTCAATAACAACCTCCTTTGGTGGCTCTGGAGGCTGAGTTGGGGTCTCCTGCTTGGTTGGAGAAGGTTCAACATCCACACTGGATGCTCCAGTTACAGTAACTTCCAGGTCCACAGTGTGAACTGTGACTGGAGTGATGCTTAAAGGGGTGAGTGTCACCTCAGGGCGTTCTGGAGGGGGCGATGTGGAATGTTCAGCTTCCGTAGTAGGTTCTGAAGTCACGGTAAGCTCCAGATCCAAAGGTTTATCTATGACACTAGATAACATTAGATGCTCAGGGTGATCCTGGTCTGGTGTGGGAACTGTCACCTCCTGATACAATGAAGGCTGATGGGGCTCTGGAGGCCAAGTTGGGGTCCCTTGCATGGTTGGAGAAGGTTGAGCCTCTGTATCAGGTTCTGGACTTAGTGAAAGTTCCAGATCCAGAGGTTGAACTGTGAACTCAGTCATGGCTGGATGCTGAGCGAGCACCTGCTCTGCCTGTGGAGGTGTCACCTCAATGTATGTTGGATGAGATGTCATCTGCTGCAGGGCTGCAGAGTGTCCAGCCTCTGTAAGAGGCCCTGGAGTCATGGTAAGCC